GTTCTTTGACAAACATGGATGCCTCCAGTAAAGCACATTAAAATGGAAATTACTCTGAATTAAAAACACTTAAAGTATCATTTATTGAACACTACATAATAATTTCATATTTAAAGTACTTTAAGAAGTTTGTATTCTGGATGTTACCGGACTTTTCCTTTAACACTGCTCTCCGCAGCGGCCAGCAGGGGGCCAAACGTTTCTGACAGCTGTGTATTTGCTGCATTTGCTTTAAATTAAATCTTCCCACACAAAACAATGAGCTCCAGTCTTGGTCCAAATGAATTTTATTCTGAACATTGAAAGACAAGTACGTACATCATCTTCTACAGTGATAGTTAACAACAGGCTTGTTGTTAAAGCTCCTCATATATTAACTCTCAGGTAACAGCAGTAATATACACAACCTGGAAGGTAAAGACAGTGAGAGCGGGCTCAAACTGGACTGGGTTAGCTTCAGTACGGTGTGAAGGGAAAGTTAAGAAGGGAAATCATTTATGCTCATCTTTACCGATTTCAGTCCGACAAAAACGCCAACATTCGTTCACACCTTTCGCAAACATTTAAGCTGCTGTTTAGACAGTGGCTGGTCACTAAGCTGTTTTGATATTGGTTATTTAGAATATACCTGTGGTCTTGGTATTAAATGAAAAACAACTAAAGCAATAAGCTAAATACCACATCTAAAACTACACTGCTGTTAGCTGTCCTGCTAGCTAACTTAGCTGCCATTTTGAATATTCAGAGCATTTAACTTAGATGAAGATCAATTCCTGATTATTTTGAATGTAGTAATGATGTCAATGATATGCTAAAAAGTGAAGTGGTTTAAGAGCTAATACTTTCCAAGAGATGTTAGCATGTTCTCTGTAAATGAACGAGGACTAATCAGCTTTCAGTCTTGGCTTTTTTTTCAAATTTTCATTTGAAAACCATGAAAGCTTTATTAGATGATTCGAGAAATAATAAATTGCATAATTTTCCATCTGTTCATCTTACATGAACTTCATGTAGCTTTTTAGCCAAAAAACTTTCTCACAAATTTTAACCTTTAGCTGATTTTAACATGTTTAATATAAGAATTATGCCAAAAACAATGTTTTTAATCGCCTTTTTAAAAACATTGACAAATCGATATCTTAATAAAGATTTTCTAATTAAACAAATAAGTTTTTCCTTCCGCAAGTTTTATTATACCTAAACAAGCACAGGGAAAAGATAAGGATTTTAATCCGTCTCTCTGCGGCTTTTTCTAGTCAACTTTGTGGTGGAGAGACACACTACTTGTTAAAAAGTTTAAACTGACACATCTTAGCAGTGATACTTAAACTACTTCTGCTTTGATATCGATATCCTTCATCATTCGGTGAATTATAAATCCGAACATAGCTCACATGTGGCGTTCCTCAAGGCACTATTCTGTGTCACTTTTTTTTCCCCAATAGCTGCCTTTTGCCTGGTTAAAATTTTAGATATCTGTGCTTGCACACAAAAAATGCCACTCACAATATGTCTGTTTTTCTACATCCCAGATATTATTTCTTCAATGTCTTTGTTGTATATGTAGATATTCTTATTTCAATAATTAAACAATCTTTTTTTGTAAGATTTTAATACTCAAATTGGATTCAGTGGTTGATCAACCAGTTGGTGTGTTTTGTTTATTTTCCACTTTATCTGTCATTTTTAGGGTCTTACTTTTGGCTTGTTTTGTTCTTCAAAGCTTGTTGCTGGAAAAAATGTTTTAATTTGTATTAAATATATGGAAACAGAAACACGAATAATGAACAGCTTTTAACTGTGTTTATAATTGTACATAGCTATAATGATGGTTTTTAATTGCAGCATTAAAAGCTAAATGAAAAATCTTATTTAGCTTTGACCTTGTTGATGAACATGTTATACGTCCTGCCTTTAAAGACTGGATTAGATTAAAATTGTCCATATCAAAGACCAATACATTTCTTTGTTAGGTTAATATGTTCATCTAAAGCTTCAGCAAGTCTTAAATATTTCAAACATTGCCACTGATCAGATCTATTAAAAAAACATCTGTTAAACCAGTTAATCAATTTTGACCGAATGTTTTAAATTCCAGGTTCACTTTTTGACTCTGACTATTCAAAATGGCCGCACATGGACAAATTTAACTTTGACAAATTTATGCTAAAATTTGCGGAGCAGTGTCTGCTTGTCTGACGTATATTAGTAGGATTTCTGTGCTGAGCTTCGTCAGCATTAAACTGGAAATAAATGTTTAACCGAGCTTCTCTGAAAACCCAAACCCATCGGCCCTCAATTTACCCCCCCTGCATAGTAATGACAGCTTAACTCAGCAGCAACACGTCAGAGTTGAGATGTGTGACAAAAAAAAAAAAAAAAGTTAAGACATTCTTGTTCACAGTACCTTGATTGAAATGAGCTTTCGTACCTGTTCACTGCATTGACTGTAACTTCATCTGCTGCAAATGGAGACACGTGGTGGATCATTTCCATTGAACACTTATCATATACTTGGTTAAAATCTGATTTGTTTTCAGCTTATTATCGTGGTTTTCAATACACCTGTACATATTAAGCACTTTCTGAGAAGACTGTTCAGTTAAAGTTAAAAGAAAAATGTCCAGATCCCTTTAGGTTCTGCAGCTCAGATCAAAATAATAAAAAAAAGAGTTAAGAGTCTGAGAAGCTGGTTGGACTAATAAAAAAACCCTTTCTAATCAGTCACACACAACCGTTATGTTTGGAGGGAGACAAGAAAGGAGGGATTGTCATCTGGATAAAGCAGAGGAGGCAGAAACAGCAGTCCCAGGTTCAACCGACTAGATGAGCGGACTGGGATTAACTGGACCAGAAACAGGTCTGCTGGAATGACTTCATCTTAGCTAAAACAGATAAAACTGTTTCTTTAAAATCTTGAAGCAGGGAAAGGACTGATTAGATGTGAGTGGAGCTCAGGTCTGCGTTTGTTAGCAGTAAATAGAGAACATCTAATCCTCTCTGGCTGCTTTTTATTAAATCTATACTTTATATTCATCCTAAATATTTGCAGTGAATGTAATGGAACTTAAGGACCCTAACCGTTAAAGAAAATCTTTATCTTTTTTAAATCTACCTCGTTAAACCTCATATACTCCCATTTATTGCTACCGTCTTCCAAATAATAAAAAAAGGTGATAATGGTGATATTTAGTTATGTTAGCACATTAGCCTCCCTAAGCTTTAACTGCATAATGAGTAACCTCAGCCTGTTCCTGGGTTCTGGTCCAGTCCATTCCAGTCCGGCTGCAGTTCCCAGTTCATTTCCCCCAGGTCAGCGCTTAGTCCAGTCCCTTCTGGTCCAACCCTTGGTGCGTTTCATGGTTCTTCAAACAGCTGGAGGTCCAGTCTAACCACGATCTCTCCTGTGGGAACTTCGTGTAGCAGCAGCCTCTTGGTGATTGGTCCCTTGGATCCCTGGTCCTTTTTAATTTCAGCCAATCGGATCTCAGTCCTGCCTAGGAAGTCTGCAGAGACACGATGGAGGTAAGAAAAATGGAAAATCCCTGATAACAGTAACAACGGATGATCTGAAAGGGTGTGAAAGGTTTACGGACCGTCAGGTGAGAACTGGTCTCGTTCAAACACAGTGATGCAGAGGACGTCCTGTTCAAGGTCCTTAATGAAAAACTGACAGTTGGAATTCCACTTGGGATTCAAGGTGTCCTGCCAACAAAAATAGAAACAACCATGAGGCTGACATTGAATTCACCTTCTCTACAGCCAGGCCCATAGCAACAAGGCAAGCAACTGCCAAGGGCCCCCGGCTGCCGGGCCCCCAGACAATGGCTGACCTGGATATAAATGGCATCTAAAGACTAACAGTGTGAGCACCAATGTCCCCTGTTGGTGCACAATACAATCTATAGTGTGTAAAATAAAATCCAACATAAACTGTAAATCAAATAGAACATTACATATTTTTCTAATTTGAATGCATCATTTTACAACCTGAAACCAGCAATGAAAACAGAAGATTTGTCCCAACTGAATTTCGTCACATAATATGAAGAAAGTGAGCAAATAAATATAGTAATAATAAAAAAGTGAAAAAGGAATGCATTCATTATTATTATATTTTGTTTGGGCGCTTATAGCATCTCAGCCTGCTGGATGCTGGATGTTCCAGTAGATTTCAGTGAGTAAACAAAATTTAACATTTTATTGATTAAACAAAATTCTACTGTTCTGGCGTATTAGGGGAGCGTTGGCCTAATAGTTAGAGCAGTGCGCTTCTGCTCTGAGAAGGTTGCAAGTACCAAGTTCGATGCCCTCTGCCTGCACTCTGGGTCTCTGAACTAAGACCCTTAATGCTGATGAAGATTCTCAGTCATCCAGGTCATAGTCATTCCGAAAAAATTCAAAAAATATCCACTGGACTTGGTTTCCAAGATTTGAAGACGTTTCGCCACCTCTCAAGGAAGCTTTCTCAATTCAATTTGAATTTTTACGGTAAGACCCTTAACCCCACATGCTCATCGGGCGCTGCACAATGGCAGCCCCCTGCTCCCCAAAGTTAAATGCAAAGAGGGAATTTCCTTGCGCTGTATATGACAGTGTAATGACAATAAAAAGCTGGAAGTAAAGTAGGATCTAGCTGCTCCTGAATGCCGGGTATATCTCTATCAAATCAGTTCTACAATAAAGATTAATACATTTAATAGTTGGATTTGGATGAATACGTTTAATAGAACGTCGGTCCCTTAAAAATATTCAGCAATAAATAAATAAATAATCCCACAGAAGGAATACTATGTTGCGGCCCAAATTATTTAGCAGTCTAGGCTTCCACTACAATGAAACTCACAGGTTTGCAACAGCCCTGCTGACTTAGATTTATTTTATCATTTTGTATACACAAGTGTAAACAAAAAGAAATTTCGTTTAGAACAGAAATTTCTTTTCTTAAAGTGCAGCCTTGGTAAGGTAAGCAGCAGTTGTTGTTGAGCTGCTACTACTGCCTCCAGCTCCTGCAGCACTCGCTTCTCCTGGTTCAGGGGAGGAAGAGGACGATGATGACGATGTTGTGAGAGTGGTAGCCCCCTGGGTAGAAGGGGCTGACGTGGTTGAAGCAGCAGTGGTGCCATCGGCATAATGGATGTCATTTTTTTCCAACATAATATAAGGGTTAATGATTCCAGGCAGCACCAGATCCTAGTGCTGGGCAGCACGGCTTACTTCACGTTTTTTACACAAGTTACGCACACGGCATTCAGTAAGCAAGTATGACTTGACCAGGCGTAAGTCTAGAAAAGCAAAACAAAAAAAAAGGCGTCCCATCAGGGAAAAGCGATCGAAAGTTTGGCTTCATTTTAAGGAAGAGAAAGGTGGCAACAAGGCGCTTTGCAATTATTACATCCACGGGAGGAAATCCATCCAACATGCAAAAAACACCTGCACACACAACATGGCATAGATTTTAACGAATGCCATGTTTTTGATGCTTCCAGACAGAAGCTAAAGTTACGACCAGCATGGAAGGAAACTCTGGTGGTAAGTAGCTATTTTTATATCACTGGCTGTGCTAAATTAACCTGACTCTGCCAGATGGATTTGCTCCGCATATCCGTATAGAAACCTTCCGTTGCAGTAATTTTGGGAAAGGGCGAAAATACAGGTTAGCTGATTGGCCTATGTTGGTGATAGACGGGCCAAATAAACCAATCAGATCAACGAAGCATATGATGTACTAACTGAGCGACGACAAAAACACAACCACAAGTCAGGCTACTCTTGCCGAAACCAGTCGGGAGAAGAGCAAAAACATCTTTTCCTCTGAGAAAAGCCTCCAGAGCAGTGTTTTGCTCTTCTTTCAGTGAAGAAATACTCTGTAATTCAGATAAAACTTGCTCGATAGCCACGCTAACGCTAGTTTCATCGGCTGAAGCCTCCATGTTCTTCAGACTGAACTGTCGCGCTTCTCGTTGCGTCACACCTCAACCCGCCTCAAAGCCAACACTGATTGGATGTTCGTTTGGTGAACGGCTCCAAATTTTATTTAACGGAGAGTCTCCAGATCAGGATGGTATCACGAGGCTACTGCTAAATGGGGTTCCTAGTGAATCATCTGACATTTCTGGAAATAAACCAGTTCCCTACCTCTCTTTGGGGCTATTTAACAAGCTATGAAGTTGCTCCGCAGTTCAGGGAGCGAGAGAAAGGTGATGCTCGTTTATTTAAATCAAGGGGAGATGAGTTTATTGTACAGTAATGCTTTTTCATTAAACGGATGCCTTCTCCATTAGATTTAGATGACTGTGATGAGCAGAGTCAGCTGGTTGGCTCAGAGGCTGTAGTTCCCGTTCACTGCCTTGTTTTCGCCGAGGCAGAAATAGAATGCTCCAGGCGAAGGTAGACGAATGTCACCGTGAACTCACCAAGTTCATTGTTTTACAGAATCGATAATAGAATCGATAAGGGAATCGGAATCGTGAAAATCTTATCAATTTCCAACCCTATAGATAAGTAAGAAACTGAAAAATTGATCCCCAGTAGACCAGCAGCACCTAGAGGTAATCAGCAACTTTTAAAATCCAAAGTGCCATCAGTCCAGCTGAGAGAAGTGTTTTAGAGTCGCAAAAATTATATAACCTTTAAATAAAGCATGGATTGTCTACTATATTCAAAAACAATCCACTGGACTTTGTTTCCAAGTTTGAAGATGTTTCGCTTCCCATCCAGGAAGCTTTTTCATTTCAAAGCTTCCTGGATGGGAAGCGAAACGTGGATAAGAATCTTCACCAGCATTTTCTACTACAGAAATTTATGTAATGTAAAAAAAAAAAACACACAAATAAAAACAAACACAAAGAAAAACATGTAATTTTGTTGTGAAACTTCTATCAAATATTGTCTAGAAAAAAACAACAACCAGAGCTTCAATGCCGGTCATTTATGTTCTGAGAGCCATTGCAGAGGTTCCACAGGTTGCAGACCCCCAGGCTGGACGGATGTCAAAGTAATCCGGATTGGTACTGGCTTAGAAAAAAAGCTATATGGGTGGATCTCTAGGATGTAACATTAGTTCTGTTTCATTTCGGGGTATCAGATAAAATAGTTCAGTAATGTTGCGTCTCACTCTTAAAGGGAACCTTTAATATTTGTTTGTAAACACATGAAAAGGTCTGCAGGCTTTAAACAACATCTTTGTTCCATTTTCGACTAAATCATCCTCAGATAATGAGATTTCCTTCTTCCTGTTCCATTTTCACCTCCAACCAGAAATAGTTGTTTTTCTCTCACTTTTATCCATGAAAAGCATAAGTTTAGGAATTGTTATCCTACCTGGACTGTTTTTGTGATATGGCACTGAGAACCCATGGTGACTTCACAGTAAGGGTTGCTTTTCCCTTCAAACAGAAAAACCGATGATTAATGAGCTAAAAGCAGATAAAGAAGCTACTGTGATGCTTCTTTCTGTTAGAGAGAGGCTTCCTGGCTCTCTGAATGTATTTACGAACCATGGGTGCGGCAGGGTTTGAGCTCGATCCCCTCCACGATGTTGACCATGAGTCTGCCGATCCCCGTGGCCCTCTGAGAACGGACTGAGACCAGGAGCACCACGTCAGCCACATTTGTTCATTAAAACCAGGAAAGCAGCTGAATGAGCTCACAAACCTAAATATGCCTTCTCCCTCTTCTTCTTCTCCGTTTCTATGAAGAGCTCGGAAGCAGCCTTAATCTTCTGAACCCAGGCCGTCCTGGATGGAGGTGAAGACAGAGGAAAGCATGTAATTATTAACAGGGTTTGTTCCTCATGGCTGCACATAGATCCAGTCTCTGTCACTGAGTTTAAGGAGTAAAGTTGGACTTATTTAAAGATCTAATGAGCTCCTGGGACATAACATCTGTGGACTATACTGGGGAAAATTCTCAGTCATTCAGTCAGTCATTAAAAAAAAAAAATAAAAATAACAATCCACTGGACTTTGTTTCCCTTGATCCCTTCCTGCCATCATCGCTACTCCAACCTCTTTACAGGGGAACAGACCTCGCCTCTTCAGCCAGGCCAACAATTCCCTTTAACAAACCCCCCTTTCAGACACTTAGACAGGTATGGGGCATTGCAGGCTAACAAAAAGCCAAATGACCCCCATTCAAAAGGGGTGGACCCTTTTGTCTGTTCCAATTTGCATGTTTTCCAAACAAAAACAAGGTTTTGTTGGGCTACTGTATAAAGCATGGAACTCAACACTATTTCTGACTATTTGAACAGAAAAATCTTTCTGGATGGGAAGAGAAACATCTTCAAACTAGGAAACAAAGTCCAGTGGATTGATTTTGAACTTTTTTTGAACATCTGTGGCTGGTTTTTTGGTACCTTTCATTGATGCTTTCGGCCCTGAGGGTGTAAACTCTGTCTATGTGAGAGATGTGGAACAAAGGCTCGTCTCCTGAAGGATCCGTTGGCAGCTTTACTAACACTTCGTTCAGAAAGATCGGCTGACGGAAACAAGAAGGACAATTACTTCCTGCTTAGTCGGGAAACAGGCTCAAATCTGGACTTTTCACCCAATTAATGATCTCACCGTTTTGTACATGCGATACAGCAGGTGGGTTTTGGAGGAGAAGACTTTGTCTGAACCTGAGGAGCCCAGAGGTTTGGTGACCTGTTGACAATCAGTTACAGTTAGTTTCAAACAGATCCAAAGATTTCCTGCAGACTAAATGTCTTCAGCCAGCAGTCAGCTTCAGAGAAAACAGATAAAGGGAAGCTCACTGGGCTCTTCAATGTTCTTTTTTTGTCTGTTGAAATGGCTCCATCTACAGGTTGCTCTATATCAGTAGCTCCAACCTTTTGTAAAGATGTTGACTCATAAAATAAGGGAAGTGAAAGTAAGGACTGGCCTGAGTGAGCAGGAGGAAGTCATTGAACAGGAAGCCGTAGAGCTCCTTGCTGCTCTTCGCTTTGAACAGCTTGCCGCTGTGGAGGAACTTCCTGGGACCCAGACAGTTGGTGACCGAGTTAAACACCAGTTGCTAAAAGACATGAAGAGACAAAAAAACAAAAAAACATCATTAAAGTTTTTTTCTGTAATCTTGTTTTAGTTACTAGTTACTAGTGAGATCAAAGCACAGCAACAACAAAACACTTGAAGTTTTACATTGTATTGATCTGACCAATGATCCATTTAAAACTGCTTTAACTACTAAACTACTAATAGATCTTAGTGCTGCTACTCTGGTTCACATCTGACTCAACAGACCGGGAATGGGCTTTAACCAACCATCATTCTGCTAGTCGATGAATCCGTCTAATAATACAAATAAATGCATGGAGGTGAGACATTATCCAACAGATAATGTCTCACCTCCATGCATGAAGCTGGTGCTGAACTGGAGAGCTCCTTCAGTGACAGACTGCTGCACCTTAAACACACCAGGGAGGACTGGAAGACTCTAGAACCACCACTGTTCCCAGCAACCTCAACAAGTTGCCACATTCATGCTGATTTTTGCACAGTTTCTACCTTAGTTAGTTAAATAACATGCTGCTGTCATTCTGCACATCTCTGATGTTGCTGCTATTTTCACATTTTCATTACTGTAAAAATGTTCATAGCTGCATATTGGTTATTTATTCTCCAGGTGAACAGTTTTTATATTGTTAAAAACACTTTACAGTACAGCATGTCATTTGTAGATTTTTCAACTCTTCACTATTATGTTATTCTTATACATTTTTCTAAGGTCCATATCCATGTGACCATTTTTTTCTAGAATCTTTTTGCTGCTGTAAACACCAGAATTTCCCCATTGTGGGACAATAAAGGGATTTTCTATTCTATTTTACTTTCTTATACTGTATCTTTTAATCACTTTTAAGTATAAGAATAAAGTTTTAGAAATAACCTTTTCACAGTCACCCCACTGGTGTTTCCGTGGAAATGGGGCGGGACCGTAATTCATTAACCGTGATTTGACGTTTGAGCTTATTTTGCTGAAATCTCTAGTTACAGCATTCAAAGCTAACTGATGTTTTGGAAGAAGGGGAATTGATAAGTTGGGTTAGTTTTGGCTACAAAATGATAACGTGATCAAACTATGTAGGAATAGCGATGTAGAAGTTTTGGCCATATGGTCCAGCCCTGTGTGAAAAAGAGGAGGTGTCTGCTGATGCCGTACCTCTGAGAGCCCCTCACACTGAACATGAGCCTGGATCCACTCCAGCCGGTCAGAGTTCTCCTTCTCTCTGACGCCTTCGTTCACCTTTAAACATAAACCATCAACACCTCACACACATCCTTCTACAGCACACAATTAAATAAATACATATTTGTAGATATTTCAATCAAAATGAGGGTATAAATGAATGACTGTAGAAGATAATTAGATAGATAAATGATTTTAAAAAAGTGATAGAAAATACGTCTACTTTGCTCAAAGATTCTGCACCAAGTTAAAGTGGATGAGTTTTATAAAACAAGCCAGTTTATTTTGTGAATTTAAAGATGGTGTAAAATATTTTTAAAGCTACATTTTCCTCATTATTTAGGAGATTGATGTGCGACTCCAGCTCACATCACTGGATGATCCATGGCTACGCTCACACTGCGGCTTTTCATGCTTGGGTCTGATCATTTTTAATGGAATATGAAAAAGGGGAAAAAAATTAAGTGTGATTGTCATTTGAAGTGTTCAATAAAGCTTAATTGAAAAAAACTAACAAAAAGCTCTGGATGCAGTTGTCTGTGTTACTAAACCCTTGTAATCCAATTAAACAGAGGGAGCTGAAAACGTTTCTATGGAAACTCATTATTGCTACTAGAAAGTAAAAAAATGAAACATGACAGGCTTTAATTATGAGATTTACAAAATTATAGTGATACAATTTAAAGTCCTAATTACAGGATTTAAAGTCTTACAGGAAAAGTGCGGCCATATTTAGAATTCAAACTTCTGAAAGTTCTTTAAATATGAAATTATTCCATCCTGTTCAATAAATGATCAGTGTTTTTAATTCAGAGCAATTTTCATGTGAATGTGCTTTACTGGAGGCATCCATGTTTGTCAAAGAACACTACTGCCACCTACTGGTTTGTGACGTCACGGTGCGGTATCGGCTGTTGATCAAGTCCCAGTGCTGTATCTGGTGTTTGTCACAACGCGCTATTATCCAAGTCATCTTGAAAACATTCTTCTTCCAAATGTTGGCTACATATTACGGGTTTTTTCTCTGGCCAGAAGTTCGATGGCAAATCCTCCCTCTTCAAGTTGGCGATCCAACGACCAACCCGTCCGTGGAGGATCAGGAATCAGAAAGGTGGAATAACTCTTTTTGTTCACTTTTACCCAATGTATTCTAACCTCCAGCTGCCATGCACGTGGGCATTGTCAGATTCACTATAGCTCTGGTGAATTTCAATGGTGAAGTCCTCTGGAAATCTTCAATAATTGTTGTTGATTGCAGATGTGTCTAGTAGTTCACATTGATTTTGCTTGTAAAGCGGGGAGAATGGCGCTAGGCTTACCGCACCGTGACATCACTGCTGGAAGATGGCAGGAGGGAGGGGCTACTATACTTGGGCAAAAATGGCCGCTCCCTGACTCAGTGATCGCAACGAAAATTATTATACTTTTTTTTTTCTGATTAACGCGAAATTCATTAAATCACTGCAAATGTGTTAGTTTTAGGTATAAATAATGATCCATTGATTATTGCTTGCTGATCAGACATTTCCTTTAAGGAATGATACAAACTCATAATTTCCACTTTCAAAATCATAATTATGAGATAAGTCTCAAAGGCTTTATTTTCACTTTCAAAGTTAAAATTCTTACTGTTTGATATCATGACTTTAATTTTCCTAATTATGGTTTTAAATGTAAATTATAATATAGCATGTCCATCTTTTAACCTTTAAGTAGTGGAAATAGACTTGATTAACAAAGAAGGAAGGTGAGAACAAACAGCATAAGTTCTAAAAGCCCAGCGGCTGTGCTGCAGGGAGCTGTCTGTGTAGCTGCAGGACTGGTAATGATGTAAAAGTGAGATAAAATGACCGTTCAGACTGAAGCCGCTTTGAAAAGCATCAGATCTGATTTAGTTTCACATACAGAAGTGGCTCAAATCCGAGTGCTTGGTGGATGAAATGATCAGAACTCGAGAGTTTGATCAAGGTGTTTTGGTTTGGGTCACATCGTCTTCTGTGTGAACGTAGCCAAAGAGACGCAGCTGGGAGGGCGCATAGCGAGGTGTTTCAGAGCAACGGCGCCGCTCAGAAAAAGACTAGATATTAAAATAAACATTGACCTGCAGCCAAAACCTATTATCAGCTAAAACAGTCCTCCAGCTGCAGGCGCCTGCCTCAGTGTGTGTTTCTGAAGGTCCACCTGTGAGCAGAGCTCCTCGGCTTTCTCCAGCGCAGCTTTCAGATGGCTGTGGTCTGGGTGAGACTCTGGAGTGTTTTCTAGGATCTGTCATCAAAACATCAAATAAAAACATTCATCTCACAGGGATTAGAGGGCCAAATGAATCTTCCATGTTTCTGTAGGATACCAACATTTTTGATGATGAGAGGGTAGCGTGTGACTCTCTGCATCGGTTTGAGGAGGAAACTGGACAGAGGCATTCCTTTGCACCTGGGATCCATGGCTAACCTCTGATGGAAACAGAAAACAATCCAACCTCAGTTTTCTTTTTCTATTCTCCTCCACACTGGAGTTCTGAAGCTATTTAAATGTTTTCTCAGGAGGTAAATCTGGCTTTAATTTAACAGCATAAACAGATTTAGAGTTTAACCTTGAGGAAGTCTTTGATCTCAGGATTGTCATCTGTTTTCTGCTGGATCAGCGTGGCCCCGTTCAGCTGACACGAGCAGAACCTGACAACACAAACAAAGATGGCTGCCTCAGTACCGTGCACCTTAAGGCCTTCCTGAGACCGACTCAGATCGCCTTCCTGACCTGATGTACGGCTGCATGTGGGGCAGCTGGTTGGTCAGGATGTCGCCGATCATCTTCACAGGCATCCGATCTCCAGACATCTTCTTCCTCACCCTGAGAGCCCTGCCAGGAAACGGCACCGTGTCACTGCCTCTATCCTCAGAACGCCTCACATCAGTGCGTCTGAGGAACTGAACCTTTTTCCTTACTTGAGGAGTTTGATGTTGCACATGATGAGCTCTTTCCAGTTGACGAAGATCATGGCCACTTCCTTCTCCGTCAGCAGCTCGCAGTCCAGCAGAGGCTTGTGGAAGATCTACGGAAACAGGAGAGAAACAACTAACGGCTGCCGTTAGAGCACCAAGGATTTCTTCCTCCTCCCTGGTGTAGGAGGGAATTTTGTTCCATTATTGTCGACCAAAAAGGATGCATTTTATAACGGGTTTATACAGGAAGGAGGAACTCTAATTTAATGTTTTTTAATGCTCTTTTAATGCTCTTAGAAATAATTTTAATGCCATCAATAAGTACCCATTACTCTCATATATATATATATATAAACACTGCAGCCATGTCCTGAATTTCTCGTTTTCAAGCCACTTATGTTAAAATTTGCATTTTCCCATTCTCTAGCTTTTTCTGTGCCTCGAGCTTCTGTTTTGAACATATGGCTTTAAGATCAACCAGTAGCAGTTCCACACAAACACGTGGAACCAGTTACATCTGATATATTCGACATTTTTTATCTTTTTTTAAATGCCATGATAATCTCATTTAATGAATTTTAATGCCAATTAAGGCCTTAATTTAAAAAATAATAATTTAATTACTTTTAATGATTTTTAATGACCCGCAGAAATCCTGTGTAAATGGAAATTAAAAATCATTTAACAGACATTTTCTACATTAAGACTTAACAGCATGGAGCTGTTGTGATTTCGCCTAAAAGGTGGCCTTACTAGTATTAACTCGGAGAATGGAGTGAATTTTGGTCCACTATTGTTGTGAGAGAAAAAAAGTCTTGCAAATACATTTTTTTTTAAAGTCTTGTGAATGCATCTCTCAGAGAAAGTAATCCAGGAATGAAAAGTTGAGAAATATCTAAAATAAAACAATATATATTTTTTTTCAAATTTAGTTTTTTCCCATTGAGTTTATGAATTGTGTCCTTCCCTTCTGAGGGCGGGCTTTCCTTTGGAGTGAGCAGTGAAGAAGCATTTCTATTAGTCTGCTGGAGATTAACAGCATGTTTATTGGTCAAGAGTGAGCGACAGTAATGGCTTTAAGTGAGGAAAACGCGTAAAACCCAATTAGAAAAGAATGCAATATCTTAAAAAATCTGAAAAAAAGATATGGCGATATAAGATATAGAAAAAGAAATCTGAGGAAACAGCTATGTTACTTTGAAAACTTTTTTTTCTTAATTAGTTATTCAAAGTTTTCTTTCTTGATTGCATTTATTCAAATGTAAAGGAACTAAATTTGTCCATAATGCTGATCTCCTACATAAAACAGAACGACAGAATCGGCACTGGGGGTTAAAACAACCGAGTTTCAACCCTAGATCCTTAAAAAGAGAAAATATCTGGAAACATCCTAGAATTGCCCCCAAAAAAGTGATTATCAGCCATTCTTGTTAACAATCAATTCTAGAAATTATATATTTAAGATCAATTTTTTAAAAACAGTTAAAGAAAGGTCAACCTGTAGCTTTACTCTAAAACAGCAAGATAAAGGCGCTCTGAAGGAATGGCGTCATAAACCCTGGTGTTTACCTCTGTGACGAGCTGCAGATCGTTGACGTAGTTCTCCTCTGTGACGATCAGCTCGTGGACGTAGCCCTGCCTCTTTCTCTCCATCGGACTCAGCATGTCCAGCAGGTGGAGGTCGGCGCACCCTGAGGTTTAAACACCACAGAAAAACACAGCTGCTGTCACCCTAGCTTTACGCCGCTAACCCGGCAAAGGGAAAAATAAGCCATGTTTAGGCATACATACCTCAGATCAATATAAGGACACCTTCTACATTAAAATGATGGCAAAGTTGGAACTAAGGTCATTTTCAAAACACCATTGAATTATTATTAAAAGTTGGTCGTATAATAGATTTGTTTTATTTGCTATGTCAAGAATAATTCTCCATTGCTTTTAGGGAAACGTGATTTAACTTTTTTCTCATCTTAAAGAACATGAGGATCTGCTACAAATGCATCTAGAGGCTTTCATAGATGGAAAACTTCAACAACATAAAAAAAAAAAGTTGAACTTTGATGATTGGGATGGATGTGTCTGCATAATGGATTTGACATTTCAGTGAAGTATGGAGGGAATTTCTGTCATTATTGTTAAGAATAAACTAAAACATGCCATCAAAGATACTTTTACAAACTTCTTTATCAAAGTAAGCTTGAAAGTAACCACATTTGTCTTTTCTCATTTATTTTCATTATTTTTTTTTTTAAACACAGATTTTGTTTTCAAATATATCGGGAATTATTGTTGGGCTTGAAATGAACATTAGATCTGTTAAATTCTATTTGAAAAGATGCTAAACATAAAGCTCAAAATATAAAAGATATATTTGAAGAAATTAAATTAAAACATTTAAAATATTCTAAAAAAGCCCACTGAAAAAATTCAGTTTGAAAAAATATGGAAAAATAAAAAATCTACAAAAATTGAAGAGAACAGCAAATTTCTATTGAATCCTTTCCGATCTTGACATGTTGAAAAAATGCATTTCTGGACTGTATTTTTTTTTACTTTTATTTGGATTTACAATAACCTTTAGTTTTTATTTCTATTTAGTGGTCATGATCATTGGAAATGGGAATAAAGAACTCAGTGAAAGTTGCTTGGAAGGACATCTGAATCCTGAATAAATTGAAATTTGAGACTTCTACCTAATTGCATGAAAAAAACCCATCTAGATTGAAAAAAGTGACTTCAAAACTCTGCAGTCAGAGCTGCTTATTCTGGTTTATTTCCCTCTAGAAGCAGGTGAGTGTTTGTTTGTTTGTGTGTGCTTGTAATAAAGCGAGTAACAAGGCTGGTTGTCTGCAGTCCATCTTAGAGTTTAATCACCAGACATGATGATTTATTGGATTCAATAAACATCAATCTGTACACTTTGTTCACTCATTCAAGTCTTCTATGATTTCATTCTTTATTGATTTTCATAAAAACTGCTCATTTTCCAACACTCACCCATTCACACATTCATTCATTCACCTGCAGCCACATTTCAGGTTACATTTGGCTTCGTTTCCATTCATTCATCAGTTCAGCTATATATATATCCACATGGAGGATCATGCATAACCAATATTCATGAGATTACTTATAAATCACAAAGTTGTATTTCTTTTTTTTTCAACTAAGCAGACTAAACCAGAGCCAGGCTTTAACTCAGAGTTTAGCAAAGTGTTTGGTTAAAACCCGAACAGTATTTCACAATAAAAGTTTCTCCTGCCAATAATGAAGCGTTAATAAAAACAGCATTTCAGCTTTGACCTTTGGATCACTGATAAAGGAGATACAAGCAGCTGCGTAGGGGGCGTGGCTCTGGTCCAGTTGGATCGTTCTCCCTCTCTGATTGGCCACCATCATCAATACTGGTTAAAACTGAATTAGGATCTGTTGTTTAAAAAAAAAATAAAAGCTCCCAAAACAACAAGTTTCAGTTTGTTAAAATCCCAAAGACCATGAACTCAGCAACCAATCAGAGCTTCACTTCCAATACTGACACAGTAAGGAGCCATAGAGACTCAAGCAGGCTCACAATGCTTTACGTTATTGCTTCTAGTAGAAAAATTATATCATAATCAGTTCATTCGTGTTTTTCAGGGTAAACATAAAAAAAACAATACTGTCATCTGAATAAACACAATATGGCAGTCCGTCTAATACTAGCCTGCTGCTCTGCTAAGAAAGCCCCGTACTGTATGTCTGGACTGTAACTAATACCATGATGTACGTAATCAGTTAGAAGCTGCTTCGGCCGATTGGCTAAAATGACACTAAAACGTGACGTTTTCAGGATGGAATGAGGAGGAAAGAGCCTCAGCTTTATGGAGAAGCACCCAGAGATCCGCTCCTGGATGGAACCGGCTGATTTCAGCCCCATCAGCAACGAGTTCAGAAAACTCTAAGCTCTTTTGCCTTGTTCAGTTAGTGAGTTTATCACACCTGAAAGCCAGAAGGTGGCACTGGCTGCACTCTTCGGTGTGGAAGTTTGCAATGAGGGAGGAAGACTGTAAACCTCAGCATCTGTGAGGCATTTGACAGTGAAGTCAAAGGAATAAGAAAGATCCTGCTTAGAGGAAACCGTTTAGTTATGAAAAACAGGGCGGCTGTTTGAATATGGAGCAAACAGCAGTAGCTTCCAATTGCTCCTATCTTTTACCCTTTTCTACTGCTGTGGTTTCATGACACTTGTTTTCAAGTCGAGTTTTCTGAAGGTTCTAACCTTTCTGTACAACATCTGTAAGACCGAAATCTGCTGTTCGAAGCAAGTAATGCTAACTGTGCTAATCATCAGCCAAAGGTGCAAAAAGTGAATTAAAAAGGCATCAAATTTTCTTTGCGATTATTGTTTTTACTCTTGATTTAAGAAGGTAAGTAAAATGATCTAAAGTGGGAATAATTTAAAATGATGAGAAAACCTTTACTTTATCTAACTTGATGCTCATTATGAAAAAAAATCATCAAATTTCAGGGGCCAAAACATTCTAACTAAATTCTAGTAATCATCTTCCTTACCTGTATAAATGAAGGGCAAATAATATCATTTTCAGAACCATTCTAGATCAATTAAGTTAAAATGCTGTTTTACAGAAACTGTCATGAACATGTTGAATCTGCTCCTTTAGGGAAAAGTACAAACTCCTGGCAGGGCAGGTACAGAGGAAAATCTTTTGTATGGAGTGTATGGAGTGAACATTGTGTCATTATTGTTTTAAGCCAAGAACAAGTTCTGTAAACAGAAGGAGAAAAAAAAAAGGCAATCCAGAAATGTAACTTCATCAATAAAGCTTTTTGGGGCTAACTTTGATGTTTTCAAACAAATTTTTTTTTTTATTTCAGGTTGTTTTGTTTTTTTACACATTTTATGTCTTCAATGTTTCATTCTCTAATCTTTTTTTTATTTTTCAAATTCCCCTTTTTGGCTGAAGGTCCATTAAAATATGAATTAATACATAAAAAAAATTTATTTAAATTTTCATATCGAAAAAATAAAATCTGAAGAATATTATTTGATAAAACGAAATCTGAGAAAACGACAAATAAGTGTAAAAAGCTTTTTTCATTAAGAAGTTTTTCAAAGTTTCATTCCTGGTTTGCATTTTTTTTTCCCATTAAGAAAAACTTGTTCTTTTCTTTCAACAATAATGGAACAAATTTGACTCCATAAATTTACAGTCAGCATTAGCCGACTGGAGCTTCATGAGGGAATCAAACCATGAACCTCTGATCGGTGCTTCTCTGCTGATTTTAATTATGGGGGGTCGTAAGAAATAAAAGCTGCATTTTTCATTTCTGTCTCTAATCGATGTGTTAGTAAAACAATACTGTCATTGTGAAATCCCAGCGGGGTGAAACGATTGTGCATAGCTCTCACTAGTTAGCATTCAGTGCAAAAGGAGCTCAGAGTTTAAAAAGGTGCCTTAGTGATCATAAAAAGCACCCATGTGTTAAGGAAAGTAAAAATGCATTTTTGTATTTCAGAAAACAGAGCAAGAACTTTTTCTACCAGGTTCAAACTCTGCGTTTAAAATGAGTCGGTTTAAACCGGACGGAGAGGAACATTCATCTAGTTTATTCCTCCAACTAACATAAAACCAGAACATCAAGCTGGGTTTTTATGTGCAACCTTAATGGTTGGTCTGATCGGAAACCAGCTTGAGCTGGAAATGACAAGCAATCGTCAGACGACTTCTTCATCCGCTGGAATGATTCAGCAGCCGTTGCACAATCATTACACCCCGACGTGTTTTAGTACCAGCTCCATCTGTGTCATCACAGCGTCCTCATCTTGGTCAAACTCATTACAGTCGTAGCAACAGACAAATTAATAATGATGTAAACAAAACAGTCTAAACAGAATGAAAAGGTTCAACACTAAAACATGATGTGTTAAAATCTGTGTGCCAGCCGGTTTTTCTCATTTGGTATTTCTCCTCCGCCTCGCCTTTTTTCAGCCAGGACACAGAAAGCAGCGGCAGATTTAAAGGGATAGTTACGTTTCGTTTTTTAAAAAAGGTTCTGCATTTGAAGCCAATAGCTAGCTCAAGAGGAGCCGGGAGTTTTTTTTTTTTATCTCACAAACATCTCATTGGTTTATTAAAAACCTTTATATCTGTCCAAACAGAAAAGAAGTGTGGAGGATGTGCGCCCCCAATTCCCTTCCTGAAGAAACACTAACAGCAACTGTTTGATATAAAGGTAAAACAGAGGGCTCGGTAAAAACTACTTTATTGACTTTTATGCTGCCTAACCTTTTATTTCTCCAACTTCCATCAGAGGATAGTCCACACAGCAAGATTATAAGTGGTGCATCACCTCCAACCTCCACTTCCTCTTTAAATAATCATCAGTTTGTTTGCAAATAAATACTCCATGCAAACATAACGTTTAGATGTTCTTAGAGTTTGTATTGAATTATTTTAGTAGGGAACTGCTTCCTTTAGCATCCAGGACCAACTAATTCATGCTAGAATGAGTTGTGAGATGTTAGACTATGGAGTGTATTTTATTTATTATTGTTGCAAGATTTAAAAAAAAAAAACTTTTTTAAAATAAAAATTTGAAATTATTTTTTTTTTTACATATTCTAAAAATTATGTAAAAATTTCTGTTTAGAACAGGCGATCTTTGCTTGCATCAATAATGGAACAAAACTCACTCCATAGCAGAGCTGCGTTCTTAAAGTTCCCAACTATCCCTTTAACCTTCTGCTGATATCAGTGCTTGACCATCTGAGCAGAGCTGGGGGGAGAGAAAGAGGAGGGAGGAGAAGGGAATCTTTGGCATTGAGAAGAGGAGACAGTTTCTGGTCCTCCAGCAGATAGTGGGTCTTTCTGTGAAGCTGTGGGAGGGGAAGGGTTAGTGAGAGAGGGGAGCCAGCACTATTCACTGACAGGTGACTAAAGCAATGAAAGCAAGGTTGAAACAAAACAAAACAAGAAGAGAGAGATTGGAATGAGTTGAATGACTAAATCTCCCATAAAGCCACAAAATGACCCACTATCCACTTCACCCTGCTGGCACAAGGCGGGGTGAGTGTGTGTGTGTGTGTGTGTGTGTCTGTGTGCACCCAGTCACTGTGATCCGGTAAAAGATATTTATTAATCCAATCTTAGAGGGAGGAGCTCAGTAGTAATCCTTGATTTCCTTCCTTTTCTCCCTTCATTCCTCATGGAAACATCTAGAGATAGATGAAACGGAAGGATGAAAAGCAAGAAAGGAAGAGGAGGAGTACTGATCTCCCTCCTGCTGAACCGGGCTGTTTGGAGCCACGGCCTAACATAAACGCAGTCGGGGGCCCGGTCCAGTCCGGCCCGGTCCAGTCAGAGCCGTGCATAGACAGAGTTCAGGGTGAGTTCGTTTAACATTACAGTCTGTCTGTCTGCCTGTCTTTGGCTTCTACAGGCGGAGAGGCGCCATGTCCGGGTCATGTGACCTCTTGCTGCTGTCCCATTGGTAGAGTGGCCTAGAGGGCGTGGCCTAGTGGGTCTCTTTGAGGGCTTTGAGGAGAGGGGGGTTCTGGGTAATGATATGATCCTAGAGAGAGGACGACAACAACAACATCAACAAAAACTAAACAAAACACAAAACAAAACAAAAAATAAATAAAAACTACAAAAGAGAAACAACAACAACGTCCAGTTGGGTGCTAGGTGGGTGGAGCATGCAGTTGGATGCTAGGTGGGTGGAGCGTGCAGTAAGACGGAGAGTGTGGAGGTGGGCTGACATGGGACCAAAACCAGAGGATCTAAAGCGGCAGTGACAGATCAGACAGGATCTCTGGATTTACTCTAATTATTTTAGTCTTACTGAGACTCGAGGAAAAAGAAGAACACGCTGACTAATGGCCATTTGTACTGTAGGGGGCGCTCTATAGTGTAAATTAAATTCCCTTCATAGAGCTGTGGTTGATTCTGTCAGACACCAGGTTCCACTGGAATGGTTGTAGAGCAGAGCGCCTCTGCACACCTGGATCATTTAATGTGCTGCAAAAATTAAGTTTTAAAGTTTTCCTATTCTACTTTAAGGCTAAATTTATCAGCGACTTCTGCCCGTGCTTCATCTGCTCCGTTGTTTTTTTTTTTAAACGAGATCCATTAATTGTGTAAACACAGGGTGATTTCCTGCCTCCGAGGTGAGCGTGTCATCGTCTATGGGGCCAAGCATGAAGAAAGCTCATCTGGCAGTTTGGTGCAGGATCCACAGGTGATGACCAGGATATTATTAATGAATTTATCTTAAGTTGACTGATCTTTTTGATCGTCCTCTTTAAACGTCTTCTTTAAACCTCAGATCTTTCCATTAAGTTAGGAGGCTAGATATACTTTCTATAATATGCTATATTAAAAAAAGTACAGAAACTAAGATAAACCTTTTAGGTTACAGAATGAAAAAGTTTCAAACATATTCCAATAAATAGAGAAGTAAAACTGTCATTAACAGTGAGTGTCAGACTCTTTAACACTTTGATCCAATGAGGTGGCTGGTAGCTGTGATAATCAGCAGCTTTCAGTGATGGGAGACACTTTGTGTTGCTAGTAGCGCCTTTAGTCAATATTGAAAAAACAGAAGCACACAAAGTTCCTCCTAACTCCTGGTTTCCATTAAAAGAGTGAAAACAATCTGGGCCAGACTCTGGATGCATTCATGGTTCTGCTCCAGGATGCCCTCACTCTGGTGTTAATTCTCTTGGAAATACCAGCGCATAAGAATTAACAGCAGCGCCCTCTAGTGGACGTTACCAATTAACCGGATGGAGCCAAATTAAATCTAATTAACCAAGAACGGACATTTAACATTAAATAAACGCACTGCACCAGGTGGAAGCGCTCTGACGGACTAGAGTCTCTGGGATCAGCTGCACCGCAGCTCCTCCATGTTCAGTGGAGCCCAGGAGTTATAGGAAATGTGTTGAGTTAAAGGAGCTGAGGTTTCACCGGATGTTCAGGGTACTTTACTCTATTAGTTCATATATTTGCTTTGCAGGCCGGGGACGGAGGCTAATTATATTAGACTTTGTGTTTGTTTTATTACATATAAAATCAGAGATAGTAAGTGCTGCAAAATTGTTCCCACTAACCCAAAAATCTTCATTTAGACCTGTAATAATTGTGAAGCTAAGTTTATTTCAGGTTTATTATGCAGCAAAAGGTAATGAAATAAATAAATAGCCATCAGTCTGTCCTTGGATGAAATGCGATGATTCCTGTGTTCTGTCATGTCTCTGCCACGCTGTAGAAACTCTGATATTATTGGTGAATCATGCTGAAGGTAAACATGCAGGAAGAAAGGAGGAGCTTGTGCACTGATCAATGCCGCTGAACACACACCTGCATGCAGTTACACAGGATACAAACACACACAGACACCACCCAGAGGGGGTGCATGATGGGGTGGGGTTATCAAAGAGGCCCAAAGGAGCAGGAATGTGAAAGGTGAAACCAGCTGGGGGGGGTCAAAGACTGACAGAGGGACAGCATCTCCACACCTGGCTCTGGGTGTGTGTGTGTGTCCGGCTGTTTCTGGTGTGTGTGTGTGTGTGTTACACTGATTAGGTTCCCACTGAAGGCATGTTAGTTTCGTCATGTCAAAAACGCTCCACGCTACGAACTGAGGCGTGTGTGCGCGTACTCACACTGCGTGCTTGGGTCGGTGTCAGTTGTCAGTTTGACGTAGTTGCTAGGAAACAGGCCCTCCCTGCCATTCAGCTCTCCTTTCCACCAATCACAGTCGTCCTTGTTGAGCACGTTGATGACCTGACCCTTCAGGAAGGCCAGCTCGTCATCGTTCTGGGCCACGTAGTCATACATGCCGATCACCTGACACAAAACTTCACAGAGACAGAAGAGATGGAGCCGACGTTTTCAGTTTGGACCAAACCAACGATGGAAGACAGATTAGGTTAAAAACGTGTTTATCTGTACATAGAAGGTTGGATTTTATTAGAAAGCAACCAGTGGCTGCATACCTGTGCTTGCAGGGGCCAGTTTAGGAGGGTTGGGCTCTGTGGGAGTGGTCTTATTGGTGCTGGGACTCAGGAGCTTCACGTAATTGGCTGGAAACCAACCAATCTGCCGCTTCTTCCCCCGAGCCTTCAGCAATAGGAACAGAGAAGTCAGATTTATTTAACAAGCGGCTCATTTCAAAGAAAAAAAGGACTTTAACTGGAACTAAAAACTGAAGGGATGTGAGGGTCCCTCAATACATTCTGAAAAAGTTTGGTATGGGGGTATGGAGTTAATTTGGTTCCATTATTGTTGCAGAGAACACAAAAAACTAATTTAATCCAGAAATTATGTTTTTATCAAATTTTTGTTTACTGATTTTTCATTTTTTTATTTTATTTTTACTAATCATTTCTTCAGGTTGAGTTTTAAGAATTTCACTTTTTTCAAATTACAATTTACAAATTACACACCTCTGGTGGCGAACATTCCTCTGGAGGGGGGAGCAGAGACATGTCTATTGGTCTGCTAGACATTTGAATTGGGCTTAGAGTGAAGAGGATGGGATGTGCGAAAAGAAATTTATAAAGAAAGTAATTCGTAAAACACAATCTGAAAAATAGAATAAATAAATAAAATCGTTTTTCAAAGTTTAATTTCTGGATAAAAAAATTTACATTTCCATTTACAAAATGCATTCTATGCTCGTAAAAATTTCATTCAGATTATATCTAATCAATGATCTGATTAGGCTTTTATAAAGTGAATACCATGAAATACTAAATTTATGTTTAGGAAAATATTTTATTACAATTTTGAAAATATAAACCTTTTTTTGTTTTTTTTTCACATAATATGAGGCCCTTTCATCTCACCATTTTTACTTTGATTTTTTATGTTATCTTGAAGTCAAACCTGTTCAAAGCTTCAAAGTTTAAAACCGCTGGCAGCAAACATGCTGTTATTATTTACAATGGAAAGAGCGGCCATCTTATTTTACAAGCGCAGTTCACAGCTTTTACTTTGATTCCCTCACAGACTAAATGCTTGGCATAAAAAACGTTTTTAAAATAATTTTTGACATTTCTTTTTGTGAAACAAAAAGAATGAAGAAAATCTAATATTCAGATTTGGTATAATAAACCAGATGTTTTATCTTTAAGCCATATTTCCCTTTAGTGGTGATGGAAACGCAGCCTTTTTTTAACCCAAACATGCAGGATGTTTATTTATAGAAGTGAGAAACGCTTCGCCACTCAACCTTAGAAAAGCTGCAAAGCAACAAACCAGATGGACTCCAATGCAGGATATTTGGTTCTGTTAGCAAAGAGCATGTTTTGTTAATGGAAATTTGTTAAAACCAACTGTAAAGTGCCTTGAGATGACATGTGTTGTGAATTTGGCGCTATATGAATAAACTGAATTGAAAATTGAATTGAATAAAAGTGAAATGAAATAAAATAGTTTTAACAGAAAAAAAAAAGATTCTCAGATTTTAGTTACTTCAAATAATTTTCTTTTCAAATGTATTCTTCTTCTTAATATTAAACAGATTCATATTTTTTAAATGTGATCTTTTCAAACATTGCCTCTCTGCCACATGATTTCCAGGTGACGGGAATCAGCTGGCGTACCTGCAGCTCGCCCTCCCACCAGCCCCCGGGGTTCTTTTTCCTGATGAGGATGAGCTGCCCCGGCGCTAACGTCAGCTGCTCCGCGCCCGTCGCAGTGTAAGCAGCGATCACCTGAGCGATCTCTAAGAGAGGGAAGGAAAGGCAGCAGGGAGACGGCATTCATTTCACTGAAACACAAAAGCTGGACTGAAAGCTGAATTTAATGAAAGCCAATCTATTAGAGCTTTAAATCCAGTGGCTAAAGACATTAATTGATAACATGGGAACCAGTGATTTATCTTTATTAGTTTACATTTAAAAAGAAGAAAAGTAAATAAATTTCACCTGGTTTCTTCCCCAGACTTCCGGTCTTTCCTGCTGGTCCCAGTGCCTAATAAAAGGAAAATGAAGGTTATTAAGAGGATTTCCTACAGATTGCCTGCTCCTCCAGACTGAATCGTCTCAAACTAGGACTCACCTCAGTGACTGAATCGCGCGGTTTGACATAGTTGGAGGGAAAAACCCCGGTCTTTCCTCCGACCATACCAGTCCACCAATCCCCTTCTTTCCTGGTAACCACGACGATATCTCCCTGCTGGAAGCTGAGGTCCCCCTGTTCGCTGCTCTCATAGGTGTACATGGCTACATACTCTTAAAAAAAGAAAACATCATGAAAATAAACACCAGTGCCTCTTTAGACTGCTGGGATGCTGTGTGTTGTTTTATCTGTTTACCTTCTCCAGAATCGGAGGGTTTTGCTGGAGAGGATGAAGGTCGTTTCCCATTGGGTGGACTTTCTGATATTCCAGGTTCACTAGGAAACAACAAAGAGCTTCCAAAATTAGCAACACAATTTATTAACATGCATAATAAACAAAACAAAAACTAACTTAAAAACATTGACAGGCTGAACCGCATTGGCGTTTGGGTAGAGGCGTGTAACGTGACCATGTACATCTCAGAGCGTCATCCTGACAGCCGCAGTGCGGCCGCTCTAGGACTTACTTGGTGTTTTTGCTGCGAACCGCAGCGACGGCAGGAATGGCCATGTTGGCTGAGATGAGCTTGACGTAACTTTTGGGGAACCAGCCTCTCTGTCCGTTCTGAAGTTCACCCAGCCACCACATGTCCTGCTGCTCCAACACGGTTATGACCTGCATTGACAACAACATGGCCGCCTTCAGAACCTTTATTGCCATCCACCTGTTACCAGCGGAGCAGCGAAGGCTGGCTGCTCACCTCGTTCTTATTGAAGTTCAGGTGGTTGTCCTTCTTTGCTCTCCAGGGGTACAAAGCCTGGGCCTGAAGTCCTTCCACCTTCTCCCCCTGCAGGAGGAACACGGGATTACACCTCCAGCTATTTGGGCAAAAAATGCTTATTCTGTTCTGAGTTGCTACCTGTCCAAGGACGGGAGAAGGGGAGGAGCCTGTCGTCATGGTGGCAGGCGTAAAGGCGGAGCGCTGCCGCAGCTGTGCTGATGGAACGCTGAGAGAGGGATTCTGACTGGCTGAGGACGTGGGCCAGGCGTCCCATCCCTCGCTGTCGGACTGGCTGGCGTTGCTGGACGGCCAACTGGAAAAAGTTCCCGGAGACGATTCGATGAGGCGCAGAGGTGGAAACAAGCGTGTTTGGGAGTCCGAAATATGACGTCAGTGACACTCACGTGGTGCTGAAGTCGGCCCAGTTACTGTTGGCTGAAGACGTGGAGGTTGGTCCGGAGGCGGAAGGAGGCGTGGCCACTGGCTGCTGGGTTGCTGGGGGTGTGGCCGAGGACGGGGCACGCAGGCTGATTGGTGCTTCGCTTTCAGGTATCCGCTCTGCGTAATTAGCTGGAAACCAGCCGGTCCTTCCTCGGAGCTCACCTCCTAGCCAGCCAGGCTCCCCAGTTTGGGACTCATCCACCTATCAGAGCAGAGAGACAGAATAAAAAACTAAATCTACAGAAGAATCGAGGAAGCTCAACATACTCTGATCCCCGGAACAGGAGAGGAGGTGGAGGTCTGGCACTGGGAGCATCTATCACCGCTTAACGATCACCTGGAGGTACAATGACTCACCAGGCCGAGCTGTGGACGGCTAAGGGGTCCGTGGTTACTTTACTGAAAGGATCAACTAAGAAGGAAAACTTGAGAATAACACGGGGTTGGAACGGCTTCAGATGGGGTTCTGTTCTGCTGGTTGAAGTCCGTCATCATGATCCAGGTTTGGGCTAAACAAATTTGTCAAAAGAAAAAATCCAAGTTGGGATTTTATTTGGATTTTCTTTTGCACTTAACAGGCCTGAAACATCTTCCTGTCTGTGTGGAATCAACCCCCCTTTAGAAGTATTACTCCCCCCTATAGGACTGGAAGGAGTCAGGCTCTTAACTGTAATGTGACCAAAATGAAGTGACTGAGATTGAGAAATTGTCCTAACCCGGATTATCGCCAACATCTAATGGCCTGTGGTAAAAAAAAAATGTAGAGCAATGTATCCATGACTTTAACTAATAACGCCACTTTTGCCCTAAAGGTTCACATGTGTCGTTTGTAAGCGGTTAAAGGATGGGTCTGGCAGGACTGAGACAGATAAATTACTCCTTCCTGTGCTTTACTGAAGCCTTTAGGCGTTTATATAGGCTCTTTGTATTAATCTGATTCTGACTTTCCTGGCATAGATTGTTCTAGCTAACTCTCCTCATACAGGAACACAATAGGGGAGACTCTATGAAATGAATTCTGTTCCATTATGGTTTTGTAAAAGGAAATATGACAAAAAAATAACAATTCCAGAAATGAAATTAAATGAAATTATTTAATGAAAAAAGTAATGAGTGTAACATATTTTAAAATTTCTAGTTAGTTTTATCTTATTTCCTCAAATTTCATTTAAATTTTTAAGATTTTTTATTTTATTTTTATTTGTTTTTCGGAAGTCTTACAAATTGCATTACTTTCTCCAATGAAAATATTGTTGCTAATGTCCAGCCGGCCAATAGAAATGTGTCTTCTCTGCTCACTCCAGAGGAAAGCCCACCTCTAGAATTGAAAAAAAGAATGTGGTAAAAAAAAAAATCCAATATTTTTAAGCTCTGTCTAAAAAAAAAAATAAAATAAAATACACAATCTTTCAAATAAATGTAAAAAAAAAAATAAACAAATAAAAAGAATTAAAAAACAAAAGGAAAGAAAAATTCGAGAAGGGTTAATTTACACTAAAAAGCGTGTTTTTTTTTTAACAAAACATTAATTTCTGGATTATTATTTTTTTAAATGTCCATTTACAAAATGTTTTCTTTGCTAATTATTGGATCAAGCTTCACTCTATAGGGCAGGCGGTGGTGATGGATGGTGTTTAAATGATCTACAGGAAGCAGGCAGCCACCATGAGTGAGGAACACATGACTCTATGTCCGTCCATCCACAGCGAAAACGCCACAGGAGGGGCAGCGTCGACATGCATCGGTGACGACTTTGTTAGAAACAAAGTCCAGACATTCATCCACTGACGAATGGAAATAAACATCTAGAGGACATGAGGTGAACCAATGGCGGCAGGTGCTGATTTTTTGGGGCTTGTGATTGGTTGGGGCCAACAACTTACCCATTCCCCCTTCACCTTCAGTATGCACAGCGGAGGAGAGAGGAAACAGTTAATACAAGCAGCCCGTCTTTTCACGAGGCGCTACGTTCTATAGCTGCTGAGTTTCTGACTGTAGATGGGTCACTTTACGCACCATGATGACATCACCAGGCTGGATGCTGATCTCATCGTGACTACGGGCATCGAACGGATACAGAGCCCTGTAGTAGACCACCTTCACAGGCTGCTGCTGCTTCTGCTGTTCAAAGCCGCTGACTGAAGCTTTCTGGTCAAACAGATTGGCAGCGGGAGCCTTTTCAGCTGCAGAGATTAGAACAAAGACAGACTGTTCAGGATTGAAACCTCTGAACAGATGATGGAACATGGCTGATGGAAGATGGATCGCTCTCTGATTTTTGTTTTTTTTTCAAACTTAAAAGAGAAAAATCCATAAACCACTGATTATTTTGTGTTTTTGCCATTTTAAAAATCAAATTAGAAAAATCCAAACGGTTAAATTAGTGTATAATTTTGGACCTTCTCTTGTCTGACGTGTAATATTTTCAACATGCCAAATGTTTCATGTTTGTCTTATTTACAGGATATTTTGACAAACAGTTCATTATATGCATCTAGTCTTTCTCAATGTTAAACTGAACAAATACGAAACCAGCGCCATCTCTGATTTCTAGTTGTTGTTACCCCAGTAACCTGTTTGCATTTCCTGACTTGACTTTGGCATCTAGACTTTAAAGGAAGCACATACATGGTGCATTTTAAATATTATATCGGGTTAATTCTTTGTTACATGTGCTTGATGCCAAACCCTGGAATAAAGCTTCTTTCCCACTGAAAATAGCGGATTAACACCAGTTTTTCAAACATGTGTCGACCCGCTAACAATTAGCATTTGGCAACCAGGCTAGTGGCATCCTTCCCATTGGCAAAAAAAAGCTGGTCTAACCCCTCACTGGCAGCTGCATGGCCTCTGTCCCGCTACCACTGTGTGTCTGGTGACACCTTCATGCTGGGTTAGAGTTGATGATGTCACCAGTGCGACAGAAATCAGGAAAGTAAACAATGGAGAGCAACACGTGAGGAAGCCAGGGCGTAGTCAGTGTGCTTTGTTGTTTCACTTTTCTCTGTACAAATCCCTCTTACCAGTGATACGCCATGTTTATCAAACGTAAACAGAGTTGTTTCAGCTTATTAGATAAGACGGGACTGGCATGTTGTGTTGACGTCTGTACATTGTGCTGGTGCTGGAGCCCAGCCATTTGAAGGCCATTTTAACCCGGGTCGCTAACCAAGTCGTTTGACCCGGGACGACACGGGTAAGCGAGCTGTTCCACTGTCACTAAAAGTCGATTGTTCCCAGGTTTAACACAGTTTTTCCACAAGTGGGAACGGGGTATAATGTTTGTCTCCATGACAATGCAGAGAACACCTTAAGCCGCGGGGACCCACCTGTGGAAACCCAGGGGTCGGCTGGCTGGATAAACAGCGTGTTGAGTTTTTCCTGGACATCCTTCTTGCCTTGACTCTCAGCCTCTTTCTCTTCCAGCGCGGCTCCCTTCCTGCCCTCCTCGTCCTCCTCCATCCCTCTCCTTTTTCTCTCCTCCTCCTCCTGAGTCACCCTGTTGAGCCAGGCGTGGGATGCAGACACAGAGGCTGGGCTGGGAGCTTTAGGGGCGGAGCTTCCAGCGTCACCCCGCCAGGTCACGCCTTCCCTTGAGGATAACCTGCATGATGACATAAGTTCAGGTAAAGTCTGACAAACCTTCCTAAGTCTCTCTAATTCCAAAGCCAACAGTCCTACCGGCTCTCCTCCAGCTCGGCTGACTTCCTCTGGGAGGACAGCGGCTGAGCGCCTCCTTCCAGATCCTTCTGCTTCTGTCTCTGCTGCCGGCTGTGAATCTCCCGCAGCTCCTGCAAAGCACCATGGTATACAGGAAAGGAACAGCGATGAGGGCCAAGTGGGGTCAGAGGGTAGGTTGCTATGGGTTACCATCGACAACGACGCAGAGAACAAGACCACCAGTAGCAGCGACACTTTTTGCATTAGTCAGACGACTGATACAAGCTCCGCCCCTTTTGATGGAGTTATTGGGGTCCCATTGGACGGTCCTCTGAGGTAATGTTCAAATTCATCAAATGAGGACTGTAGAAACTAAGACCAACAGAATCTGTCCAAAATGATTCAGACTGTAAAAAAAACTAAATTATTTCCTCCAAACATTGACTGAGGTGTTTCTATAACAAAGAAAGCAAAAATCTACAAATAAAACTAATAATTCATCCCCTGATTGTTTGTTCTAATTGATAAACCCGGTGTTTAAGTGGAACTGTCAGTTTGAAACATTTCAACAGAACTGGTTTGACAGCTGAGACACGGCGACGGTTAGTGTGAGTCACTTTCAAAAGCAAATCCAGTCCTCTTTTTATCCAACTGGTCGACTGTTACTGGTTGGAGTGGTGCAACGTCTCCACATGTGTCAGTCAGCATGTGAGCAAAACTGAAGAGTGTGCAGAAAAACCAGGAAGCATGTGGCTCAGTCATCAGAGGATGTGACAGTTTGCTTCTAACTAAAGGAAACCATCATTAAAATGTGAGGCTGAGATGAAGCCAACGGAGTCAGAATATTAACAACTGTTGAGGTTATTATTGCAATTATGACACGTTTAATGCAAAGCTGACTTTTTATGAGGTCTTTGTAAAGACAACTTTTCATAAATATGTCCTAACAGGCCTTATTTGAACCCTTTAAACAGTTATTCAACTTAGCACCACAGTGTCATAATGACTGTTATTAAAGCATTGGATGGTCCAATGACATTTAAGGACAAACATTAGGGACATAAATGAAAAGGTTTGATTATAGCCAAAGATTGGACTAATCACATGACAACATAATGTTATGTTATTACACACATCTAAAGAAGGTTTATAAAAGAACATATTTATGATGGGTTATGATTTATTGGTCGATACTAAGAAGTCAGTTACCAAACCAAAAATGCTTTTCACAGACAGCAATAAAAGAAACCCACAATCCAAACATCCCAGATCTAAGAGCATTTTCCAGATACAGTAATGGGGAGCTTTTTCCACCCACTAAAACTTTCATGTAAAACCTGTTTTAATACAGGATTATTTTGGTCCAAACCTGTCAGATTATTCCAAAAAAAGTAAACAATCCACTGGACTTTTTTCCCCACGTTTTGAAGATGTTTCTCTTCCCATCCAGGAAGCTTTATCAATTCTCAAAATGTCAGGAATAGCGTTGAGTTCGAGGCTTTAGCCCAACAAAGCCTTGTTTTTGTCTGGAAAACATTTAAACTGTTTTCAAAACAATTTCATGTTTTATACAGGTGGGCTACTGTATAAAGCCTGGAACTCAACGCTATTTCAGACATTTTGAATTGAAAACTCTGCCTGGATGGGAAGAGAAACGATTTCAAACTTGGAAACAAAGTCTAGTGGTTTGATTTTTTTACTTTTTTTGGGATGACTATGACCTGGATGACAGGGAATCCTCGCCAACACTGTCCGATTATTAGATACATCTTCATTTGGCTTGTTGCTGTTTATGTAAATTTGCTTTAAAAGGGGAAACGAACTATGAAGAAAAAATTCTGACAAAACAAAGTTGATAAAAAAAACAAGGCATTATTAAATGAAAAAGTCCCCCCCAAGCTGGTCCTTAAAACATTACAGTCCTGTTTAACTCATCCCTTTTCCTACAGTTGTTTAGTTGCCTTGATTTATTGTTGCTCTCAGGCTTAAAGATGAACTAATAGAGGCAAAGGGGCGGAGCTTGCACCAGCGATTCTTCAGTGTCAACAAATGGTTATAAGGAGTCAACAAATACAGGGGTGCAGCAGGGAGAAGAAGGAGATGGATGTGGACTTTTCTGTGTATCCATGACAACCATCTGTGCCATTAGAAACCACTCTGGAATTAAAAAATGATGCAGTGCATATGCTGTGTTTCAGCCAACGTGAGGACGCTTTAAAGGACAATTAAACCAAAAAGGGAGACAGACAAGTCCGGATCAGCTGGAGCAGGAAGTGGGAGAGAGATATGAGACAAACACACACAGACACTCGTTCACATTAAGTCGGATTTTTGTTATTTTTATATGGAGTAAGCGCCCTGCTTCGTATCCAGCTGAAACATCAGTAGGTCTACAATGAGTTGAGGTAGCCTAGCAACAGACCTGATTCACTCAAGTGTGATGAAGCAGAGACGCGTACAACAGGTTCAGGACATCGGTCCTATATAAGCTCAGAAAGTTAGCCCTTCTTTAGCAAAAGATAAATTCAAATGTTTTTATTTAAGCATGCCGGTCGATCAAATGGGGAAAATCGTACAAGAATATCAGACAGAATTATTTCCCCTTTTGGGGATGGATCAGACTTTTAGGAGCCACAATACTGCTGCATTCACACCAAGGGCTTTTTGACCTTCAAGAAGGTGTCCAACACCTCCTCTCTGATGCTCGTCCAGATTATTGGAGTCAGACGAGCATCGAGAGAATTTTAGTTAAGAGACGTCGAGCTAATTGTTCGAAGACCCTTTGGAGGCCCTTTGCCAGACTGTGAACGATGACAAATACAATGGAGAGACTGGCTTTGCTGTATTTGCTGTGATGTTCCTCAGGATTATGATCCTAGCTTTAAATATTCTGTAGCTGTTCTGTGGTAGAACGCTGCATAGCGGCAGGGGAGCGGTCTCTGGAAATCCAGCAATAGATCAAGCTGACCAATCAATGTGGGATTTCCTGCTGCTGTCCATAGCAGCTAGAAGCAGATATGTCATTTTTAGTGGTAAAAACTGCACACAGAACAAATAAAGATCCAAACTAATTTTGCCTGGAATTTTTAGTTGAGTGATCCGAGGACGCTCACTTTTTCTTTTCATATATATATAAAAAAAAAAAAAAAAACTTCCTGGCCCATAAATAAATATATTCTTGTTTGCATTTGATAGTTTAATGCTGATAGCTCTTCAGGAGCAGAGCTCACAGCTTGGAGGAAGTCTCTGTCTCCTTGTCAGTTCCCAGATCAGCTGCTCTGATTGTTTGATGTTCAGTAATGGTTCACATTTTCCTACCCCGCGTCTGATGCTGTAGATGCGCACCAACAAAAACGTGCCTCAAAACGCGCTGCGCTCCACCAGACACCCAAAAAGCTCTGCAGGATGCACCTCTACCATAGTAGGAACATGTTCGGTCTGGTGCTGTACGGTTCCGACAACAGAGAGTTTGTGTGACAAAGGTCTGCAGCCTACTGGATCTTTGTCCTTCCACAATCTATTTCAACTTCAAGGATAATTTCTACAGACAGAGGCATAGCTGTGCCATGGGATCCCCTGTGTTACCAATTTTAGCCAATCTTTACATGGAAGAAATGGAAAAGAGAGCTTTGGGCACCTTTAGAGGAACACCACCAAGACATTGGTTTAGATATGTGGATGAAACATTGGTCAAAGCCCAACTAAAAGAAGTGGAAGCTTTCACAAGACACATCAACTCCATGGACCACAACATCCAGTTCACAGAGAGGATGCCAACAACAAGCTACCTTTTCTGGACTGTCCTCCTCTGGACAAGACTGCAGTACATTCACACCTTATGGACAAAGGACTTTCTTTGTTTACATTTTGGACAAAGAAGACAGGTGGTTTGAGAGGGGCGTGAAGGATGCAATTTATGTTAAGAAAAATGGACCTTAAACAGAGGGGGTGGATTTCAAGTTTTAAAAAATCTACAATGCAGCGATAGAGTCGATTCCTTCAATGCTCGTGGCCACGCAGGGAACCAAGATATCTGGCCTGGTCACCAACAATGACCCTAACGACTGCCCTTTCCAGAGGGATAGGCCAGCATCAGGTATTTTAGGCTAACAAAGACCTCAATGGCTCCCCATTAGTCCGGGGTGGACCTGTTCTTCCAGTTTAATTAGCATCTTTTCTACGCTAAAACAAGGCTTTGTTGGGCTACTCTATAAAACTCAACGTTAATCCAGACATTTGAACTAAAAAAGCTTCCTAGATGGGAAGCGAAACGTCTTCAAACTTGGAAAGCAAAGCCTAGTGGTTTATTTTTTAAACTTTTATTTTTAACTTTTTTGGAATACTGGTCATAATTTAGTCATTTAAAGATTCTGTCAGTTTTTAATCCAATCTTTAATAATAATCTATGAAGTAATCATAATCCTATAATATAACATCTCTAATATTATAGACATTAAAGGTTTAACATTCTTTGAACCAAAGATGTTTGGAATTCAGCCCAAACTGCAACATTTTTTTATGAAAAAGCTCTGATTGTGACTCATAAAAGGCGGCGGCTCTGTGATTCACTCTGCTGATTAATACATTTGAACAAAAGCAGGTTTAGTGAGTGTTATGCAAACAAGCTGATGCTGCCATCATTTCACTTTTTTCATTCAGCTCAACAATGCCCACCAGAAAACCAACCTAAGACCTATTAATATGAGGGAAATGCTTAAAAAAAGATTGTTTTACAAAAATGGAAGAATGCAATTAGAATATATAATTGAATTCATCATAATGTCTGTAATTAATTTATTGCCTTTTAATAAAACTATATCTTGACAAAGAACATTTTTAATCTAAAAATGTATTTTTTCTCCTAAATTACTGAATAAATAAACATATGACCAAAGCAACACATTGTTTCTATATTGTTTTTAACCCATCATTCAGGTTCTTCAACCATCAGATTTATCAAAGTTTTCTTTGAGAAAGCCCTGATATTTTATTACACCTACTACAGAAGTGTGAACATTACATGAGCATTAAGATGAACATTTGTTCTAGACCAAAGTTAAAGTTTTATTTCTAAAACCGATAGCAGAGCGATGACAGCGGAGCTAAACATAAAGCATTGCTTTAGCAGCTGAATGTTTATTATTTAACATTTAGTCCAATTAAAACATAGATACTACCGAGGATACGTTTCTCCTTAAGCCATAAGACCAATAATCCATCTTGCTCGTTCTGTCATGGAGTTATTTTATCAGTCGTAGACAAACTTTACTGGCTCTAAGTTTGTCAACTGGTCCTTTGTTGCTTGGTTGGATGATTTGTGCCTCTGCTGGACATTGGAGAACGTTCCAGAATGTTTGACAAATGTATCTTTTAGAAGTCTGAAGGTAAAATTTGCAATACTAGAGAGTTTTTCTAAAAACCAGAGAGTGGTTTCCATGAAGACGTCACTGTTTGTGGCTCATGGCGTGCAGAACGGTTCTATGGCAGTTTCAGGGAAATGTAAAACTCCAACAAGCTGACAGAGAGAAAATTACTAAATAAAACAGTTTGCTTTTTAAAGCTAATTACGCTGAACTGAAATTCAGCTCCAGCTAAGTTCTCGTCTTCGGTGCGACCTTTCGTCCTACGTTACAACAACAACGATTCATGTGACTCAAATGTACAGAAAAGTTCAGATTAGACTTCTGGAAATCAAATCAAATGTCAAAAACAACACTTTGTTTGATACTATTTGTCCACTTTTATTCTGATCAAATGAAAGATTTGGTAAATACCTTGTGTAGTAAAGTATTATAAAAAAAACAAAAAAACAATCTGTTAGTATTTTTAATGTTTCAACAGATTAATGGATTACCTCAAGTAAAACTATTCCTTTAATAAACCAGTGCATGCTTCCTCCTTAGAGGTGTGATTATTTCTCACATCGGGGGTAAAAACGGTTACATCAGTAGAATCAGGATAAACTGGGTGTTTTTGTTTTGCTTCCACTCAGTGTTATAAACTCTGATTAAATTCAACCATCACAACAAATCAAGCGTTTCAGGATTCTGGTTCCTGGTTGTTAAAAGTCAAAAGCAGGTTAGTCTCCTGGTAAGAATCCAATTTAAAACACAAAAACTGACCTTAGAGTTAGCCCACTGCTAACAGTGGACCTCTCATTACAATAGTGTATCCCAACTGCAGTACCACCCCATTCCAGCAGTGGCAGTGTGCTCTACCTGTCTCCCTTTCTCTTGGCGGTGAAGCTGGCGTCGCAGGGCTTCTATCCTGGCACAGTGGTTGGCATAGAACTCACACAGACACTGGCATGGGAGCAAAAGGCCAGTGTGGGGAGGTAAATGAGAAGGAGTAGAAAATATAGAAGGAGGGGTTTAATATTTGGATTGAACAAACAACAACAGGGAGAAACGAATGGGAGGAATGAAGGCCGAGGAAGCAGAAACAATAAATAGACAAAAACAGCCAGGAGCAAAAAATAAACAGAGCCCCAGTTTTAGAGCACACAGAGAAGACAGACGACTGCGGAAGATCCAGGTAGTTCAGGGGGTGTGAGGGGGGGGCTGTCAATCACAGGAAGCAGTGTTTTTATTTACTGGCTGCTTTCATCAAACCCTTCTGTTGTGTCGCAGAGGCCAAATAAATACAGAGCCAAATTGATTGCATTAGTTGTTAGGAAATCAGTTTAAAATGGTCTCCATAGTTACTGATCTACAGCCTTATTGCAGCTGATCTGCTCTATCTGACCTGGTCTAGTCTCTTGTTTGTAATGTTTGTTATTTTCACATGATGCTAGAATATAACCACCAACGTCTTGATGTCTTTATTTGTGTGATCAACCATCATAAAACAGTAACTATGTGTGAAATGGAAGAGAAATGATAGAGGTTTAAAAAGTGGAGCTTCTCTCCCTGACCAGACTGCTGGGTTCTTCAGACCAGGGGGTCCAAAAGATTTCCGCCAGTGGAAAAAAACAATCCAACAGACTAACCTCTCTCATTTTTAATTTCTATAACAATAACATACAGTAAGTGGTCAAAGGCTTAGATAGAGAAAAACAATCTGAAACTATGTATGATTTCCTTTAGTTGGTCTTTCACATAAATCCCAATTAAGTGAAGTTTGTGGCTAACGTAGGTGCAAATGTGAAAAGGTCAAAGCTGCAAACCGAGCAGGAAGCTGCAGTCTGAAACCAGCAAACACAACCTGGTCCCCAAAACACAACAGCTAGCAACGACAGCAGTGCTACAACACCAATATAAACAGAAACGCACCAATAAAGTACAGCAGGACCAGGCTTTGAAATGAATGCAGTGGGAATGGGACATGTCAGCATTGGATTCATCTAGCATTACAGTCAAAGTGTTTGATTGGTTAGATATCTCATCTCAGCTGCTCAGAGACTTTATAGGAAGAAAATCCTAACTCATATAAAAACTCACTATTGAAAAGGCAACAATCCCAACTTTATCGTCTGGTTTAGGTCTTAAGGTTATTGTTTGGAAACTGATAACCTTTAACCTCTTTGGGAAACAGAATGAATAACTTGTCATGTTATGATATAAATATTTGCTTTAACGTGAACAATATCAGCCTAATGCTTTGATTTATTTATTTTTATAATGCTGAGTGATTGAGATCATTTATTATCAGGAGAAATAATATCTAAGGGACTGAATCTGATGTTAAAGGTTCTGGATTTCTTAAAAAAAAAAAAAAAAACAGAAATAGACCTAAGTGAGAATTTGAACAAACACTATAAATGTACAAGTGAGTTTTTTTTTTATTTAAATTTAAAGTTTCTTTAACAAATCAAGCTTGAAGTGATGTTTCAGACTTTTATTTGCATAGTTTCTTTCTTTCTTTCTTTCATGATGCCTGGTATGAATGCAGTGAATAATTACCTTCAGTTGTGTGTTGAAGGCGTCTATTTCCAACAGCTTGGCTCTGGTCTCTCTTTCCACTGTATCCAGCTGCTCCCTGAGCTGCTGCCTGCTGCTCTCCTTTTGCTCGATGGCCTTCTGCAGTGATGACAGACTATCACCTGAAACAGGCAGAAAGCAGCAGGCATCAGGTTAGTCTGATTAATTCAGGCCGCTGATAAAGCCCCTGCCTCACCAGGAGTTTTCCTACTGTAGCTGTGATATTTAGAGTTTGACCACAGGGACGTGGGGCCACAGTGGCGTCGGATGCAGGAGTTTGCCCTGCAAACGGAGGGGTTGTCGGTTCAAGCCCTGGCTTTCATAGTGGTTGTGTCCTTGGGCAAGACAATTCAGCTACATTACCTACTGATGGTGGTCAGAGGGCCCGGTGGCGCCAGTGTACAGCAGCCCCACTTCTGTCAGTGAGCCCCAGGGCAGCTGTGGCTACTATGAAGTTTGCCATCATCAGTGTTTTAGTGAATGACTTTGTTTTGGTCAAGTGTCCTAACTTGTAAATGGTCTGCTATATAAATGCAGGCCATTCACCATTTACCATTATGCGAATATTTTGATCTCTGATCATGGGAAAAACCATTTCAAGTGTTCAGAACATTTTCAAAAGCCACGAGAAGAATTTATGTTATTCCAAAAGATTTTTCCTGTTAAAAGTCTAACTCTGTCTTTTTCAAGCAGATTTTGAAGCATAAATTTAAAGTCTAAGGTGAACAGTTTCACATTGGTCTGATTTGAAACATGAAATGGATGGTGTATGGACAGAGGAATAGTGGTTCCTAGAGCTTCTAAAAGTAGAGTTGGGTAGTAGAATGGGAACACGTCCATAATAAGCTGTCTCCTGCTATAGGCTTATGCTGCTGGAGGACATACAGCCCACTTTTCATCACTCTGCTTCGGTCTATTTCCCTATTCTGCAGTATTTCTTATTTTGATCTCTAACTTTATGCGCTCTCTACTTTAAGCTATCACTGGAAGAGAAACCCAGGCCCCACTCCATCATCTATAATTGAAGGTTCCTTCCTTTTCCAGCTTGAATGGGAACCCTTATATGTTTATGTTGCCATGTAGAGTGTCTACCATGCACACAGGACTCACGGTGCAAACTGTTCTGCTGAACCTGTTTTAACTGGTCATTTAGATTCTGTTTGTCAGGAATCAGCCTCCCCAGCCACTGTTGGGAGTCCTGCATGAAACAGAAAAGCAGCAGCGTCAATTTAGCAGCAGAAATGATTGAAACCATTAAACATGTTTTGCTTAAATGCAATAAAATGTAAAGAAAACAAAAACAGCGTCTCCTAAGGTGTGCAAGATGAAGGCTTGGATAAATGTGAGAGAGGGAACAATGTGTAGGTTTGGTGAAGCGAACCTGAAGCTGCTGTTGAAGCTGGGTGATTTCAGCGATGCGCGTTTCTCTCGTCTGATTGGTCTGCTCCATCTCTCTCCGCTGGGTTGAAAGACGAAACCGAACATCCTTCAATTTACCTTCCAACTGGTTCTTCTTGTCATTCTGCAGAGCAGTAAATAGACATTACATAATAGTGTTTACATGCCACAGTAAAAAGCTCAGATTATTCCTCCCGTTTCCATCAGTTGTAACTAGATAGTTAAAACAACAATATCCATTTTTACATCTCAAACTTGGCATTTATCTCTCCTTTCCATCTCACCTGCAGAGAAAAACTTTTCTGTTCTACCGTTTCAGATATAAACAGCAGATTTTCTAAACCCCACCTATTTACTTTGGACAGATAACTCTGAGCCATGTCTCCAATTTTGTTTCCACCAAAATATTAAAAGAATGGGGGCAGGATGTAGAAAACACAAGTTTCCACCCGCTTAGATAAAAGAATGTCGGCACAGTTTTGTAAACAGAGCATAGATAGCTTTAATAAACGAGGCCTGGTGTTTGCAGATCTTTTTTTATTATTACCAGTGCCTCCAACTCAAACTCCAGTGTCTTCTTCCTGGCTTTGAGCAGCACTATGCTTTCCTGCTCTCGGTTCCTTTGAGTTAGAAGCTCTTGGCGACGCTGCCGTTCCCACTCCAGCTGACGCTGGCGCTCCAGCTCCCTCTTAGCAGCCTGGGACACAGACACACACATGCTGAGTTCAAATGAATCTGCATCACAACACAAGATCCTCAAACTTACACAACAGAGATTATAATGGGATGTGTTTCATCATAAACAGGCAAATCTTTCCGTTTCTTTACTGTAAACACAGATTCCACATGGGAGGTAAAAAAAAGCCATTAGAAGCTTTTTAATGGGCGATTACAGCTCAGATAATAACAGATCTGGAACTCCAACTTGTCTGAAAGGCAGAAAACTGCTAATCCTTCTTTCTTTCTACCTCTCTCCTTTCTATCTCCTTGCGTCTTTCTTCTTCTCTTTGCCTCTCCAGCTCTCGCTGCCTCTCCAGCTGTTTCTCCAGCTCCTGCTGTCGTCTTCTTTCTTGTTCCAAACGCTCGCGCTCCTGGATCACAAAGATTCAAATATAACCATACAAATAAAAATAAAAAGTCTGTTATTCATGGTCCCTCTGTTGGTGGAAATTACCGACTGATAGAGAACAGCACCCTAAACTACATGACTAAGGCAAATGGAAATAAGAGAGCAGCAGGACAGTCCACCTTCCTCTCCTGTTCCTCCCTCTCCAGCGCTGCCAGCCTCTCCTGTTCTTTCCTCTGTTGCTCCTGAAGAGCCTGACGTCTTTTCTCCAACTCCAGGTTTCCTCTCTCAAAGTTCTCCCTCTTCTTATCCTCAAATGTCACTGTTTGAGGGGGCAGTGAGAAAAATAGCAAGCTTTAATGAAAACATCTAGAAAATAAAACTGATTAATAAGGAAAATAAAACAAGCAACAGAGATGCAGACCAGGTTTCTATCCTCATTAAGGAGACAGCTTTCAGGTTTCTATGGAGGGAATTTTGTTTCATTGTTGCAAGGAGAGAACATATTTTGTAAAATTGGAAAATTTAAATAAAAAATTTAAATCCAGAGAGAAAACCTTTTCTTTAAAAAAGAATTTGGGAGGATTTTTCCCCCCCCTTACATTATATATATTTTTTCGAATTCTAATTTAATCCTTATTTTTAATAAAAAAAATTTTATCCCTTTATTTTCCAAATATAATTTTTTTCAATTTCTTTTTCAAGTTTCCGTTATTCAGGATGAGTTTTACACATTTCACTCTTTCAAACTCTCTTCACTTCAAGTCCCACACAAACGCTCGCTCCTGACCAATAGAAATGTTGCTAACATCCAGCTGACCAATAGAAATGCATCTTCGTTCCTAACTCCAGAGGAAAGCCCGCCCCAAACATATAGAGAATTAGATCTGGAGATCATAAGGTTGAAAAATATATGAGAAAACTTAAAAGGAAAAAAGTATAATTTCAAAATATAAAATTTCAAAATATAGAATATACAACAGGAATTCATAAAAAAAAAATTAAAAAATTAGAAGAAAAGTTTTCCAAAGTCTCATTTCTGGATTTTATCTTTTACAAATTTCAATTTATACAATCGTTTTTTTCTTTTTTTCTTTTTAATTTTCGTGTTTTTTTGCTTGCTACAATAATGGAACATCCAAAGAGGAATCTGTATGTATTTATCACAACAGCTGCGCCTAATTATGTCAGCTTGTTTGTACTGGATATTAATCAAAATGAGTGAAAGAAAGGCTTTAGACAGTTTAATTAATAGAGTATAGTAAACTGTGTTAAATAGATAATGATGGAATATTTTTTAACCACAGATAGTGAAAAATTTGCATCTCTACTCAGAGCCATGACTGTGAACTTCTGGCAGCTGTGAAAACATCACAGCATCTACAGCCACACAAATCAAAAGAACTGTTGAACACTTTGCATGGATTTGTGCAGGAAGGACACCATGGAGCAGGAATTCATGGAGGCAGAACAAACTCATCAAGTCACCTGGTAGCTTTTTCTCCTGGTTGCTCTCGTTCTCCTCCTCTGCCTCCTCATGGACACTCTTCTGGTCTGACTGAACACTGTCACTCCGCACCCGCCTGTAACACAGATACAATCCCAGCATGCTCATCTATTTAGCCGCTTAATCAAAGAATCAACAACACTTTGAAAAAAGTTAGTGGTTTCATTCCACAGATACGAGAAAAGGGTGTGAGTACCTGAAGGTAGGTGGTAGGTATTCTGCTGATAACACTGGAGGCAGCGGTAACCCTGACATCGCCATATCGATAAGGTGCATAGCCAAGATGAACTCCTCAGCTGTTAGCTTTCCATCCTGGTCGATGTCTGATAGACTCCTTAAGGAAAACAGAACCAAAACAAAAAGAGTTTCACATTTTTATTATTGTTTTGTAAACCAAGAAACGGTTGACTGTAACTGTACTGACCAGATCGTAGCCAGCTGAGTCTGAGGAAGACTAGACTGCATCAGAATAGTGCGAGCCTGGGGTCCTACGACGGTTCAGATAAACACGTTAGCATGAGACGGGGAACAAAAAGCTGATCTTAAATGTGTCAACCCACCGGTGAGGTATCCACTCATCATCTTGTCATGGGAGTTAAAAAGCTGTCTGTACTTTAATCTGGAGGACTGGGGAACCGCCCAGTCAGAGGGAGGCTGAGCACTGGGAGGAGATCAAAAGAACATTAGAGGTTTACCATCTCTATGCTGAGATCTTTCTTTTTCATTTCTAGCAGATCAGGTGCATCTCAGAACATCAGAATATCAATGAATATCCCTGCGTTGCTTTATTCTGGAGAGCCTTAGGATAAATGGGGCCCTGGGCTCTTAATGTTAAAGAATGTAAAGTGAAGAAGATCAATGACAACAGTGAGCATCCTCTTCACAAGATTTTTCAAAGAGCAAAGTGTTTTCATTCAAAGGCTTTTCCAGATCCGGTGCAAGACAGACAGACCGCTACAGAAGATCCTTCCTGCATACAGCTATCAACACCTGGATAAAAAACTGACCTTTTTCAACATTTTATTTCCCTTTTCTTAATAATGAAGCATTTTGATCAATTGAATTGGATTTATATTGCATTAAAGAAGCATTTGAAACCTTTGAAACAAACACACTCATGCATAAACACCACAGGTGTTTAGATCCACAGTTATGCTAAACACTAACCCTCCATATTACTTTATAACAATGTGTTTTATTTGTAGCCATATATCTTGGCTAACTCCTGATGGGTAAGATTTTAGAGCTGGAGGCAGAAAACCATACTAAAAAAAGCGTAATGCTTGTAACGGTAAATGTTTGAATGTACTGTAGAAACACAATATAAATCCTATTATTCCTTTATTAATTGTCCAAATTGGTACCATATGAGAGTCTGTCTACCAAATACTTTTGAAGATATGGCAGATTAAATATTTCCCAACCTTGGATTTTCCTAAAATTTCTGAAATAGAAGCCTAACTTTACACTTATTCCATTAAAACTATCCATATTTATAATAACATTCACTGTATTGAGTCTCCAGCATGTGTTCTTATTGAAAAAACATCCTCTGCCTGAGGCAGACGTACCATTCGTATGGTCAAGGCTCAAAGTGACACTCTCTAAATAGCGTTTAAAGTCACGCACATTACACGTTGTTCAACCAAAAACACCAATCTAAAATTTTGGTCAAGAAATTAGTATCAAGAACATACCAATGACTATACCATAAGTTGGGTGAGCTGTATATAACAGTGGAATATGGAGGTGGCTACTGCAGTCTAACTATGTTTTATATGGGAAAAGGAGGCACTGTAACGTGACAAAACTATTTTTGCCCCTTTACCATCTACATCTATAGAGAACCAGCCAGTTTTGAGGTTAGAATAGTAAATAAGACGCCCCCATCCAATAAAAAGACAAAATGCAGAAATTGTAAATTGCCAATGCCATAGACAAATCTTTAAAAATACGTAATGTGTGACATTTATGACACAAACCGATATAAACAGGTCCTGTGCTTTTAATAACCACCCCAAAGCTCCTCAAACACAAATCTTAGAAAATATATGCAGAAATTGTGTAAAACGTTAAAAACCATGTTATCAGAATCAGAATCAGAATCAGAATCAGAAATACTTTAATAATCCCAGAGGGAAATTACTTTTGTTACACGCTCTAGTTACAGTTTTACATGATATATACACACATCCAACTATAGTGGCAAATTATAATGGCAAATGTTCGATTAAACTGCTTGGAATTACCCAGAAATAGGAGAAAGGTACCAAAGTACCGAGTGGTATGCCCCATATATGACTCTATGGTGCCAAGCCGTAAGGGCAGAGGCCGAGTTGTTGTTTGGTTAGATGCTCCTACTACCATTACTCAATTTTTACAAATTTTTCGGGGTGAAAAAAGTTCATCAATAAGTAAGAGCTGCTAACTGCAGCAATACCATAAACCTAAAGTCCTGTTACTCAGATGTTAAGTTCTGAATGCCTATTGAAGGCCAAGGCTACCTCATGGGTACTGAGTCAAAGGAAGGGCAAACAATACTGACCTATGAACTGGAGGGACAGCGTTCCCCTAAGCTTCATATCAAGTCAAGTCAAGTCAGCTTTTATTGTCACTTTCTTCATATGTACAAGACATACAAGGGAAATGAAATTACGTTTACATATGTAATAAACATACTTTTATTGTTTCTTTTCATTTCTGATTTAACTTTAGATGTCGCCATTTTGAAATCCCTATAAATGCTTAAATGCTCTATATGATTAAAATGATACAATCTGTGTAAATGGTTAAAAAAGATGAGCAATGGGAAAAAATAAATTTCAAACTTAGCCCACTGGTGAGTTGTTCTGTTTTGATGTGATCCCTGAGGGCCCCTTGGTGCCCGCAGGTACCAAGCTGGTGACCCCTGAACTAAAGGTATGTCTATTCTTTAAACAACGTTTTCAGAGATATTCGTATAGTTTGAGATGCGCCCGTATAAGAGAGAATAACCAGACTGTGATTCTACCCTGCAGCGTCAAACGACGAGACCTTCTGCAGCTTGGTGCTGGAACGATTGAACGAAGCGGCCTTGTTCACAGACGGAGCTGAGAGAGGAAGCACAGAATAGAAAACGGCTGAAATTAAACGCAAATAAAATGTTTCTGCTCTTTTAAACAAGATGGTGTTTAGTTTTTTTCTTTTAGGCCAAACTTTCAGAAACATCAGAAGAGCTTTGCTCTGTTTTTACCTGGGTGGGGGAAACCTGGGATGGGCGGCATCATGGCTGTGGGAGGTGCTCCGTTTGCCATGGGTGGCGGCAGGGGAGGCGCTGAAGTGGAGACGAGAGGCGGAGACACCCCAACAGGGAGGGGGGGCAGTGGCAGTGGAGGTACGACTGGGAGGGGGGCTGGGATGGCGGTGGGAATCGGTGCCATAGGAGGCATACCTGGAGGGAAACAATGAAAACACAAAGTAAAACAAATACTGGTCACCATAGCAACAGAGACAGACTATTAGTAACTCTGTTTTCACAGGAAAAACAAACCCAACAAAAGGAAAAGCTTCCTATGCGTGTCTCACCAAAGCTGGGCTGTGGGGGTAAAGCGAGCGGCGGCTGTTTCATGCTGGGAGGGAGCGCCGGCGGCAGAGGGTGGCCCTGCAGTTTGAGTTTGATGAGCTTCATGGCGATGGAGAACTCCTGCATATCCATACGGCCGTCGCTGTTCATATCGGCCAAGGCCCTGAAAACACACACATTTAATCAGTAAACCATCAGGTTACGGCGTCCTGGATGGCTCCGACAGCAGACCGACATCTGGCACTTTTCTTTGTGGATCTGACCAGTTTGCAGCCATTAATAAAAACATTCCTCCTGATTGTCCACTATGCTGTTGAGGAGGTTAACGACACGTAGCAGGAATCAGAACCGTTATGGATATTTAACGTGAACATGTAAACCCATCCCTTACCTAGTAAATAACGGCTTTAATCCCACTGCAGCGGTCCTGGTACATTAGCAGGTAGGATATCAGTCTTAAATCCGTTCTGGTGTTATGAATTATCAGTTAATTACTGGGTGCAGTTCTACATGTGAAAAAGGTTTAAATTCCCTCTAGAACTCGGACAATTGATCTGATTAAATGCATTAATTAATCGCCAATAATGTGGTAATGAATCGTCAGTCAGACCAACATAATTACTAACATCAGTAATTATGAAAGAAAATGACAAAGATGAAAGTATTTCTAATCTAAGATGAAAACATCTCAATATGTGGAAAAACATGAAACTTGCTTTTCTTTCTTTTTTTTTTTTTTTTACAAATTACTTCTATTTTTTGATACATTTTTTTCCACAATCTATTTCAGGTCACAGTGAAATAAAAAAAACTTAATTAATTCTAAACATCTATTTATTTATCTAGAAATGCTAAATCACTGAAAGTTTCTCTTTTTGATGAATCAAAATAATAATGGATAGATGAACGGATTGGTAAAGTAAAGGATAACTGCAGTCATAATTCTCTCCATAGGGCAGTAAAACATTCTGCTTTGTTCACCTGTGAATGAAGACCAGAGAAGAGGGGTGCACAGACTGATTGGCATCGATATCCTTCATTTTGGGAGATCGGTGTTCGGCCAATATTTAGACATCAAACCGATCTTTATCACAAATCTGCGACATAGGTCTGAAATCAATGCTCTAAACTTTGATTTATATTCGACAGCAGTAATTTCAGAGGTATGTATTGTATCCTGGGTACTGAATAATGCCTTTCAATAAGATAAGATTGAAATATTTAAGTGGGTTCTTATAAC